ACCACATCTTAAATTACTACTGCTCTTTAAAATCAGGAGCAGCTCAGCATAAACTACAATATCACAAACATATTTAGAACTTGACCTGACCTTGCAGTCTGAAATCAAGGGAACCTTCTGGTGGCCTGGACTCTTTTCAGGTCCATCTGTGAAAATGGCACTGTGCCACTGCTTACAAGGTGGGGTGCAAGATTCAGCAGTGCACAGGATGCAAACCCAGGGCAGGCAGCAGCCCCTCAAGCAGGAACTAGAGCTATGCACAGCCAGGAGAAATCACACAATAGCCTTTTGTTTTTTCTTCTAATTAATATTAAGCAAAAAGCATTATAAAAACAAATGTGTGAAGTAGCAACATGGTCAAGATCCTGAGATCAAATCCTGTTCATATCAGTTATAGCTGGAAAAGGTGAAAATTGTAAAAAACCCAATCTTATTCTCAGTCTTTTCGTACAATTTCATGCAAAATATTCACCATTTTCTGCCCTCATGTCTTTTGCAGAGCTAAGAGAATACTCCTTAGAAGTGTTGTAAGACATTTTAGATAAGCAGAGATGGAATACATGGATGATCCGTCATCCTCTGAATTCAGTTGGAAGCTTCTCAATGATTTCACATATTTTGAATTAAGCCCTGGAGTAGTAGTTATACTGTGTATGAAAAACAAATAAGACAAAAATCATTTAGGTTAAATCTTTCAAATGGCTAAATGCATGGTCAAGTTCACTCAGACTTGTGGAGTTGCACAGAAATTTGCAGGTTTAGAATTAGGCAGGCATCTTTCAAGAGGCAAACCCTGAAGCTATGAAAACCATTGCTTAGTAGGAAGTCTGTGTAAAGTCTTCACTCTTACTGCTGTTACTGCCTGCTAAAAATGTTTTTTACAAGAGTTAATGGGAAAATAGTAATTTTTCATAACTAAAAATTCCTTTTTGCTAGAGAAATCCAAGGAAGAGCACTGATCTCTGTTGCCTTGGCAACATTTCCTGAGAAACTCAAGCATTAAAGTATCCAGTATGCTCAAGAAAGTTGCAGTATCTATTTCATATTGGACATTTACCACATTTATTGTGTTGGCATGCACTCATCTATCATCTGTGAGTATTTGTCACAGAAAGCAATGGGCCAAATAATACATCAGAAATATCTGAGCTGACTTAAATGTACATGGTATTTTTCCTGCATATTTCCATGGCTACTGAAAGTTGTTACATCTATAGCCTAGGAAAAAAAAAGAGCATTCTTCCCTGATTTGTGGATATTAGCAAAATAAGTCCTGTCTTTCTCCTAATGCATTTCCTAACTGAGCAAAGGGATCACCTCTGCAATGTGGGAGGGAGCCTGTCCTTGAATCTCAGTCTGAACCCAAACCTTGGCTTTTCTCATGGGTTTTGTTGAGGGTGCTCCAGGGCACAGCATAGCTGCTTCTGAGATGAAGACTCTTAGGTCCACATGAGGAGTGGCTGTCTCTCTTGCTGCTTTTCATTGTAGGAGACTGAAAAATCTGACTTTCTCAGAGGTGCTAAAGCCATACTGAGGGACAAAATAAGCAGGAGTTGCAAGTCTGACACGTTGCAAAGAATCTCAACTTCTCTTTAAGTAAAACATAAGTGAAATAGGCTTGTTGGGGTAAAATAGACAGCACCAGCCTCTGTGAACCCAAAGCTAATTTTCATGTTTCCATCTCCCTTCAGTTTTTCTACAGGCTGCCCTGGATGTATTAAGAATAAGCAGAAAATAAAGCAGCACCAAAGTGGCTTGCTGCTAATCACTTCTGATCCATTAGAGGGAAGTGTTTGCACACAATGTACCATATAATTCCCTTCAACCACTTCTAATAATTTCTTTGGATGAAGATGATGAGATAGCAGAGTCTGCTTCTGACATAATGAATTATTTTATTGACAAATAAAATGAAATGTACTAATCACTACATTTACTACAGGACATTTGCTACAATCATTTTTATTAACAAAGGCAAAATATGAAGTGTTTTTGGGTTTTTTCTGACTGCATGTTAGTAGGCATAATTTGGGCTGGGCAGACATAACTTCTACCTAGACAATTCCTGTAAGGGTGCTACTTAACACCAAGATATGGTTTCTTTCTCAAGGGGGAAACAGCAGAACAAGAGACAACCCACATGATATAAATCATCCAGAATACCCAAATTTCCCAAAGAAACATTGCCAAAGAAAACAAAGAGGGAAGACATTAATCCTCCTGTGAAAATCTCAAGCTTCATCTAAATGAAAACTTCAGGTGAACTGAAATGTTGTGGGTGATTCCCAGTACAGGATAAGGAGATTGTTAATTGTCCTGCCTCAGACAGGTCTGCAGCCCTCTCTGAACCGTGGCTTCCTGTTCTGTGAATTATCTGCAGTGGCTGCTTCCGACCTCATCTCCGTTATTAGCAGAGGATTTATGTCATGCTCTGACCCCATCCTTCAGATGACCTCTCCTGCTCAAGGGGACACACACGTGCTGACACATGATTTTCTCATGCTAGCTTCTGACTTATTAGTTCCTTGAGTCATATTTCAAGGCAGTGTTTAGTACTGCCCCTTTGGAACTTTGTGTACCTCTGACAGTGAGGAACCACGAAACAAGCCCACAGTTGTGACAAGCTGCTCTGACTGTTGAACAGTAGCTGCTTATTTGTACCTTCCAAACTTTTCCAGCACCACTTAAAATACACAGAGTGTCTGCATATCTGTCCTGCATCTGCATTCCCCGATGATACTTGGAGAACTTTAATCATGGACTATCCAAGCTGCTAATGCACACTGCAGTTCAGTTATGCCAGTGTCTGAATGGCCTCCCTGGCTACACAATGCTATTTTTTTTGGTGAAAATTTTTTATGACTTGGCCAGCCTACACCTTACAGACAGCAGTCAGAGCAACAGAACTTCTACAGGCCATCGAGGATTTTGGTCTCAGTTATGTGTTAAGAACCACTGCTGCCCTCTGCTGCAGTATTTTGGGTTGTGTCTCTGATAACCAGTGAGAGCCACAAACATTCAAGTAAAATTTCTAGTCTTAGTAACCAGAACTCAGCATGCTTAATGTTTCCATTACTGACAAGATCATTCAAAAGCTCTGTTTCTAATTCATCAGAAAAGTCTGATGCTGCAGGGGCCAGGTTACATAGGAAAAATCAGATTAAAAAGATAAAGTTTTAACTCTTAGAAGAGGAACACCCTTGTAAGAGTTTGGACATGCTTTCTTTCTGCAGCAAATGCTGTCTCATCTTCTGATAATAAATAGCCATAGAAGAATAAGAACTATGAAGTGAGAAACTCACCTTGGGGCCAAAATGAGCACCAAGTTTCTGGGATACATCCCTGAAATATTAGCTTAAATGATGATGGACAGCCAAGTTCCAGGTCAATTGAACTAATCTTTCCTTCGTCTCAATTTATCCAGTTCTGATGAGATGCAGCTCATGACCCCTCAAACAGTTAGGTTTCTTCCTCACTGATACTAGGAAGAGTAACATGAGTCCAACCTTCCTATATTCACAGCTACTTCACAAAATGCTCCAGACACAGTTTATTTCTTCCCAGCCCTCCACAGACTCCAATAACCATCTCTTTTGTCATTTTGATCTGAATAGGTTGCATTGCTTACAGGTGAGAACAACTGTCATGTACACCTAAACAATTTTAGAATTATTTTATGTTTCCCAATCTCACAAATCCAATTACTTCTCTCTTGCAGAGCTTCCTGCACAGCATGGCAACTACAGTGTCTCAAACACACAATGCTAAATTTCAAAAACTCATCAGGAGACAGGAATAGATAAGCAGATGGTGGCAGGCCAGAAGAAGAAAGCCAGAGACACAGCCTTCCTACTCAGGGGAAAACCCAGGCTGCTCTCAGTAATTATCTGTGCGGGTCCCCAAAGGAATTAGATACACATTTCAAAGGAGGTGAGCTGAGAGTGTGGCTAATGAAGGAGCTGTGCATCCTTCCAGTGCATCCTTCCAGTGCATCCTTCCAAATGCTCAGGGTGTCCACAGGAGCTCTGAGTCCCTCATGGTGACTGGTTCATACTCTGAATGCTGAACCAGAGAAACATCCACAACTAAAACCACAATACTATCTTATGTCAAACCTGAAACTTCTTACAATAGGGCTGACACAGTCTTACATGTGTAGTAGATGGGACACAAAGAAGGGAACCTCTAACACACTGTCACTTGCAACTTCCAGCTGCTTCTATTTTTTGTGACACTTTCAGGTATATTTTCAGTTTTTCACTGAAAAACATACACTCCAGCTCCTGACCTGAGCTCAAGGCTTAGGTTCTTTCCACTGAGCAGAGTTTCCTACAGGGACAAGAGTTAAGTTTTGTCTCTCGTATCTCAGTGACAAGGAAGGTCCTTTGTGTCTTGGCCCCTTAAACAATTCAGTCATGACACAGAGGAATCCAAGCATAGTTCAAGGATTCCTGCTCAAAGGGGACTTACCAGAGCCATGACAGTTGGCTCTAAAAAGATTTGACTGGTCTCAATGAGAAAGTTGAGGACTCCAAATGAGAGCCAGCAAAAGAGATTATTCAGATGGTTCCTGCCTTCTCATTTCTGAACACATAATTTACCTCTCCAGCACATTTCTCCCTCTCACCTTCTCAGCATCATTCAGATCATGTGTAAATCTCATGTGGTAAGTTCTGACAAACTTATGGTTGCCAAGAGTGATTCCAGTACTCAAATTAATTCTGTAAATATATTAAATCTGACGCAATGTGCTTTGCAGATCACCATGAAGAGAGAAAAGCAGAAACCACAGATCTATAGAAACTAGTGCAATTAATTCTCTATCACACACTTTTCCTGATGACTGCAAAACTAAAACTGAAAATAATTCTGAAAATCAGCAACTTTGTTCTAGAATCAGCAGGAAGCCTTTCTATGAGAATTTTTGTATACTCTGCAGTTAAGTGAGGACATAATGGGGGGCTCAATTCTTCATAAACTCTAGTTCACTAAACACCTACCTCTAGGACTTTCCCAGTAATGAACTGGTGACATGCTTCACACTTGACTCCAAAAAGAACTTGGTAGTCCTTTTCGCAGTAAGGAGCACCATCTCTGAAAAAGAAAATTCATAAATTACAAACCACTTCTTACTAAACAGGTTACAGCATGATTTACTCTCTTTATTTGTCTTCAGTTTGCAACTCCTACACACAGACCCAGGTAAATGGGGAGAGTTCGAGGCAAACACTTTGTAACACAGGAAACAAAAATCATATTCTTGCTAATGCCTCTTAGAATTATTCCTTAAATTTCCATCAAGAGAAGGCATCCAGGACAAACTACTGAATTAATTTTCCTTCTTTAGAGCAGACTCTCTACACCTACAGGCGGTGCCGTTCCAGGGAATCAGTGTAATCACTGTCTCTGGGGTTGAGAGGAAATCACAGTCTATCACAAACAGAGAGTTTTTGTTCACTTCAGAAAAAAAAAGCCTTTGGTAGGCTGCAAGGCTATAAGCAGTTACTTTTAAGTGTAAGGTAATGTAGTATTTTAGTGTGAACAAGGACTGTACAGTAGAAGTGGAAACACTAGTCAGCCTAGGAGCATTTCTCAGGCACAACTTTTTTTTTTTTTTTAAAATTATAGATGCTACTTCTTATAAATATTACACACACATAAATGACAGGTTTGTGAAATGTACATTGTTTCCTTATTTTTTCTCTTTGCTATATGCTTGAAGGGGGAAAAAGAATCTGTATCTTCATTTCCGCTCTTTTATCATTTCCCTATTCTCTTCCTCTACACCTTCTTCAACTCAAAACCCTCTACATTAGTTTCTTATATGGAGATGAGAAATACAATGTCAGGTCAATTACACCATCACATTTACTCTTTTATCTAGCAAAGATAAAAAATGCACAAATTCCTACTTTTTTTCCCTCAAAATCACATGTTGGAGAGCAAAATGAAACAATGCTTTATCTGGTTGCTACAGAAAACACATGCAACAAACCACTTAATTCCCTATGGGAATGTGGAATTATACCTCTTTCAGACTGGTATTAAATATAGACTGCTATCATTAAACATGAGCTTTCAGTTGCACTTTGCAGTTCACTTTCCCAGTTCAGCTCTCACTGGGAACAAAGATTTTGGAGTGTATGAAAAGATGGTCTTTTCATAAAAGGACAGGACTTCCAGATGTGAATTTTGCTGCAAGCTCTTCTCTGCTAGCAGCTAAAACTGTGCCACGAGTTCAGAAGAGAAGCAGAGAGAGGTTACTCACTTGCTGATGTATTCCCCAGTTAGGACCTTCCCACAGGCCTTGCACTTAAAGCAGCCCAGGTGCCACTGCTTATCCAGGGCTAGCAATGCTTGTCCATTTTTGATGTCTCTTCCACAGCCAGCACAATCTGCAAACAAGCAAACAGATGTGTTTGTTGTCAGCGACTTGGTTCATTAACCTTAATTAAGTGCCCACCTGTCACAGCATTTGCTAGCCAAAGGGATGAACTGCACAGCAGTGCAAAGGTACATCTTCTTTTCCTTAAACCCTTACCAGGTCCTGTAAAAAAACCCCAATCTTTCTCTTTATAGACATTCTCAGCAGAAGAGGGAAAATACTTCTGTTTTTCATGCTGTTTATGATTCAAAGACCACCTGGCAAGCTCTGTACAAACTTCACTTTTGTCAGGAACAAGCTACCAAAAAGTCCTCACTGCAGAAAGTTCCTGTCGTGTACAGCAACCGCTGTCTGTGGCTCTGCTTTAGCGAGACCCCGAGAGCTTGCACGGAGCTGAGCGAGCAGCACAGGACTCGTCCTGTCCCCGTTGGGTGGCAGCAGAGCCCTGCCTGTGGCACAGGGACCAGGGCACACACCCTGCTCCAGGGACAGCCCTGGCACACACCTGCCTGCAGGGACAGCCCTGGCACACACCCTGCTCCAGGGACAGCCTCCAGGGACAGCCCTGGCACACACCTGCCTGCAGGGACAGCCCAGGGCACACACCCTGTTCCAGGGACAGGTGAGGGTACATACCCTGCTCCAGGGCCAGCCCAGGGCACACACCTTGCTCCAGGGCACCCACCTTCCTGCAGAGACAGCCCACGGCAGGGCTGATAGCCCTGTCACTGCAGTGGGGGCTGCAGGGAGGGTGTGTTGCTGCCCACCTGCAGCTATGGGAAACTGAAGCTCTCCTGGTCTCTAACTGGCAAAAGGACTCTGGCTCAGGAGTTTTGGTACTGTCCTGGTGGTCACTTTTCACTGCAATCAATCCTGGAGGACCCTGATGGCAGAAGAGGAACCAGGAGCACTCTGTGCCAGGGGATGCCATAATATCTCATGTTACATCAGAAATCTCTAGCTCAGCCCCAAGCTTCCATTCCTCTCCCTTCAAACATAAAATGCTCAGAAAGATTTCCTGTTAAGGGCAGTCCAGCACATGGAAAGATCTAAAGAGACTGATGTGGCAGACAGCACTGAACTGCAAGGGTTGTGCTTCTGTGCCCAGCCTCAGGGGACAGGAGCACTGAGGGAGGGAAGGGCCTGGAAGCCCAGTGAAGCGGAAAGGGAATGCCCATCAGCTGAGCCACTCGTGGAAGCCACAGAGACAGCCTGGAACAAAAGATTTCCCAGATACTACTATCCTGGTGTTCCTTTGGTGAATGCCTGAAACATCAACAAATCACAAGAAATGGAGACAAACAGAACTGAGTTGTTAAAGCCCTGGCAGCAGGGAAGACATCACCCTGGCTCTAACACTCCAGCTGACTGAGCAGGTACAGCCCAAAAACCTTCATCTCCTCATGGGTTTAAGCCCAGGCAACACCATGCCTTGCAAAAGGTCAAGTCCAAGTTTATTATCACAACGGATAATGAGAGCAGAGTCAGTCCTTTTGACTAAAGGGCATGACTTTGGTTTGTTGGATAACAGGCCAAAAGAACCCCAAATATCTGCTGCACATTCCTACTATCCAGGAATCCACCACTGCATCTCCCTCTTCCTATCAGCATTCTTCTTCTCAAATCCCCTAAAAAGGAGGGGAGGGGGACTAAGCACGGTGGTATCTTGTGACAAAATACGAGTCACAGACTTTTGACACAACTTGGATTTGAAAAGCAGCCCTGAGATGTCCTAATACCAGGATTCTGCTCTAGAGGACATATGTTACAAGCTGAAATCATGAAATGACAAGGAGTGACACCATGTAATGTATCCCTCTGCTCTGCCATGACAGCTGAAGGCTCCATGCCAGTCTGTGATGACAGCAAAGGCTGGAACAGGTCACCAAGGGAGGCTCTGGAATTTCCAGCACTGGGAGAGGAAGGGACAAACACGTGCCAGAGTGGCTTTGGCATGCTGATCTGGCCTTTGGTTTGGGGAGGATACTGCATCATCTCTTGAGGTCCCTTCCAGCCCTCATTTCCTTAAGCTAAATGTGAAACCATGCAACATGACTTTGACTGTGAGAGCAAATGAGATCCTCCCCCCAGCCCCAGTTTTAAACGAGCACCCATTTCTCAGCTCCCTAGCACTCCTGCGTCCTCCGGGTGTGCCAGCCTCCATAGCCAACCTGGACCCTGGCACACTGTGATGCATTCCCTGCTACGTTTTCCCTCAAAAAATCTGCTGTATTTTCCATGCTGTTTTCATTTTTGTCTGGGAAACTTCAGTGAAGCTGAAATTTTCACGAAGCTGAAATTTCTCAGAAATGGAATCAATAAATAGATTTTTAAAACACTTAATTTCCAAGGCAGTGGGAATAGAGAAACTGCCTTACACAAAAGGTCCACCTAGTCCAGCATCTTTATTGATGCCAAAACCAGATACATGGGGGAAGTAGGGATCCATGAAGGTACCTCTGACTGTTTAATTGCTTCTTTGGAAGCCAAATCACAGTTAAGTCTGAGCACCACACTTAGTATTAGTGCTCATGTTTAATACAAGGGTTGGAAACATCCTTTTATTATTCTATAGCACCAATGACATCTACACTCTTTCTGGGTTCCTTGAAGTGTTTTGCAAAAGGGAATTAACATAATTTCCATTCTGCTAATACAACAGACACATTGAATGTCTAGGAGCAAAGTAAACTAATAGCCCAGTACTGCTGTATTAGGCTGAGATGGCTTCTAAATAAATCTGATTTTAATTCTGACAAAACTGTTGGGTATATACATGAAAAGCTTGCAATTATCATTATCTCCTAAAATAGAAAGTGAATAGGGCTGGGCTGGGCTAAGAAAAGACTATTTGTTCATCCAAATTCTACAAATAAAAGCCATTATGATCTCAGGCCTGCATGTGGCACATTTAAGCCCTTGGCTGAATGTCATCAACGTATGCAGGCAGGGTCTCAGTATCACATTAAACACAATCTGTATCTGTCTAACCTATAACTAGCACATGCTGCAGATAAAAGGGCTGTGAGGTAAGAATAGTGGTCCACAACCATATGCCAGAGCAGACTGAAAAACCTGACAATCCTTCCTGGATTTGTGTACAATGGCTCCCACCATGGTGCTCTCTGGTTTCACACCTGGGTCTACCAGACTCCACCCCTTGAATCTGAGCTTTCTTGCATTTTCTTTTTGCCGTATCACCTGGATTCTTCCTTACTGCCATTCCTTGCACATGACACATTCAGCAGTGCCAAGATAACAAAGAGGAGAAGGCAGACAGTGCAGTGTGCTGGTTAAAATGCAGAGAGAGCAGTACAGCTCCCAGATGCACTCAGATATATGTCATATTTGACATGTCTGGGTACAAAAGAGAATGCCTGGACTAAAGAACTGTGCTGTGGAGTCAGCCAGCCCACAAGCATGGGAAAGTGGGGGGACAGGGCACACCACTATAATATATGATTTAGACCTCCACTCTCCCACCACCTTTAGCAGCCCCACTAAAAGCCACAGGTCAGGCTGAGCTGCCACCCATGACACCTTGCTTGTAAAGATATGAGAAAATGTGTTTCCCTTTTTAGCATCTGCACCACCCCAGACATCCAGGAGTGAAGCATCCTGCACAGCAAGCCATTTGTCACTGTCTAAATTAAGCAGTGGATTTTCTGCCTTTGCCTCCCTCCCCTGCTCTCAGCCAATAGTGCACAGGTGAGCTCAGAGCTGATACAGCTCTGGGATTAACCCTCAGCACACAGAGCAGGACTTCACTCACTCCCATGTGGATTGCTTTACAAATTTAATAGCAAATATGTCTTTATTCCACATTCTCTCCTCATGCCATATGATTTTTGAGGGAGAAACCATCTCTATGTGCTTTTGTCCTAATAAAGAGGGATATGCAAAGTCATGTGAAGGATTACACCAGCTCCATGCAGGGTTAGCTCTGTGAACAAAGCTAATAGCAGTCTGATTTAATTAAGTCACCAAAGAGTTCATTTCAATCCTGATGGCCATCAGAAGTACATATCCAATAGATAAAATCTGAAGCTGCCACAACCCCCGCAGGTCACAGGTATTTTGTACTCTTATTACACTCCTTTTATAACAATCTCCCCTCCTTATAAAACATGGATGTGTGAGCTTTACAAAGACAGCACCAGCAGGCTTCTGTTCTGAAACAGGAAAAGCAGGGAAGAACTGGGGGGGATTTTGTTTTAATACTTAAAAGAAACAGTAAGTTTTCATTGGACTTACACAGAAATACATTGTCAAACATAGCTGGACCTAAAGAGCAAGTGATTTGGAAGTGATGAAAGAGGCAAATATTATCACCGGAGTCAAGGTCAAGAAATCTCTAGGTATAAATAGCTCTTAGTCACCTTGAAAAACAACTTATATCCCTGTAATTCTTCTGTGGCAATTTGAAGGTTGTGCAATTGCAATTTCTCATAGAGGTGGGGAGACCACAGTTTTTTCTCAGTCACCCTTCAACAACAGATCAGGCAACACCTTCTAAAGCCTTGCTTTAAAATTGAAAAGGTTGAGGATATCATGCAGGCTTTTCCAGATCTTCAAGATATTTCTGTCAAAGCTAAAAATACAAACTCACTATGTTCACAGCATGACAAACATTTTCAAAGTTTAAAGCATAAGCATTTGGTCATTGAGGCTGTGATACATTCTGTAAGTCAGAGAAGGACGTACAATATTGGGAATTTTACATGCAGGATTTAAATCTGAGCATGTAACTCAGGAAATCTGCTGCCAAACCCCTTCTCTTTGCCACTGCAAGGATGGGAAATGTTTGTCAGAACAAATTCACTATTGCCCTTTTGCTGAAGGCAAAACAAATCCACATAGGCAGCCTTGTACTCTTGAAATCTAACAATAAGAGGCTGGGCTCATACAATGGAGGGAAATAAATTTCCCATGGGAAGTGCAGTATAGCTTTGACAGTTTATTATAAATAGCAACTTGGGAAAAACTGATATTTTCAAAACAAGTAGTTAG